GTCGTACATTTTCCTTTTGGTAATTTTCTGTCCAATGCAACATCGTGGGCAATAGTCACAGTACAAGTGACGATTATGGGTTTGTCGGTCTCTGGCAAACGTTTAGTCTCGGATAGTTAATTTACATGTCCGGTGTGGTGAGGTGTTCTTTGTGTGTACACACAAATGGTTACTCGGGGAGATTTGTGTTCGTCTACACCTCGGTGTGCTGCCCCCGAGAATGAAATGCTAATGGGATAAGGTCGGGGCCAAAACCGATTGATTCCAGTTCTAATAAACACCTGGGGTGCGTTCTCATTTGTGTACGCGGGTGGAGGGGGTCGCCAGTGTTGATCGCTTGACCGTTCCAGCAGTACTGGTGATAGTGCATAATCTGCGGCTGGTATTTCACTGTCTACGAGGATGATTCGTCTGTAAAATCTATCAGAGGATCGACGGATGGGTGATTATATTATCGTCTAACAAGTTACTCCATCAGATACAGGTCACGTGTATCACTTATCCAACTCAAAATTAACCTGCACTTATCTTCGTTGAACGGGGCTCAGTTTAACAATATGTGGACAAGTGATGATAAGGTTAAACAATTATTTTTTCTCGTCCTAGTATAGCACCTTTCGTAATTTTACTATCACTGTGTTCTGTATCTTCACGCTGGTACTGCTCCCAGATTTCTGATTCATTCAAAAAATGGTAACGAACACACACACTGACCCATACTAGTGCAATATAAACAACGGTTATATGAAATGAACCGCGATCTGAACTAGTTCCATACGCCTTAGTTTCCATATCGGATTGTATTGCCGACTTCCCGAGACAACTTTGATGGTAATAATGGTTCCGTTGTTTTACTGAGTTCTCGGAAACTCTCTCACAATGTGGTTTGTTAGGGGCAAAATATTTACGCATTCAGTTGCCCTCACCAACTTTTTACGAATTGAAAATTAACCTTCATGTGGGAAACTATGTCAAAAAAGAGAGATCAATCTATCTTCCCTAGGCAACCGCAGGCCACCAGCGAAATGAACACTGTTTATTCGGTCAATTTTTATTGCCTTATTCACGTTGCCATGACAACATTCCACTTATTCATCACTGGTTTCCTCTGTCCCACAGTAATAGAGGTGACTTCTTCGTGACTAATGCGTAGCCTGGCTGGACACACTGTAATCGTAGAATAATCCTATCTAGGGGATGAGTGCGGATGTTCTTGCTTATTAACAGTCGATCACGTGATCACTTCATGACGCACGTATAGGCGATTCTGCAATGATAGCTTTGATTTAGACATCGGTAAACTGTTCTCATTCGTGTGATTCTGCTGACCAGTACAGCTATTTCCGTGAGTTTTGATTGAGTAAACATTGCTACCACGTACTTTCACCCTTATTTATTTATTTACAATTATTTGATATTTAATTTGATCAAAATTCAATGATTTTTTGTCCGTTTCTTATATGTTATGGTTTGTCCGTTCGTGTTATTCCGTTCTATTCGATTCTCTCTGTCTTTCCGTGCTGCCCGCAATCCACAGGTCACTTTATGGCAATTCCTCGACTATGCGCCTCCCATCAAACCGGTTACAGCTGCTATCAAAACTGACATACCTGGGTTCCAATGGAAGGGATATGCTCCGTTACGCGTAAGTGCACGGTAGCCTCTCTCTCTCCCCCCTCCGGCCGCGCACGCACTCATTTTGATTAACTATCTTTCTATGGTGCGCTCTTTTGCTTCCGCTTTTAATACACCATGCAGTAGCTTGAAAATATGATATACAGTGACGACACCCCGAGTCTTGTGTTGCCTAACCGAACATTTTGTTGTCAAGACATCTCTCCTCCGCCACCATGTCCTCAGATGTCCTTTCCGGACTGTTCACAACTTTTTTATCCAGTGGAATATTGACCATGCTTGGAGAGACTGTTTTCCCCCCTCCGCCACCTGGGATACTCCAGGTAATGTGCAGCGCCGTTGATCGTAGCCCCTTAGCAGCCTACAGCCCTTAAGAAATCCTGTATGGTCAGAAATGTCTAGCTTTCAGTTACGTGTACCAACGATATGAACTCCGACTGAGATAAACGTGACATGAAGCTAGAAAAACAGTGATATCAGTGTGAGAAAAATAATGGCTCACTCGTCAATGGTCCATGCAAAGTGATTTCCACCGCTTAAACTGATGTCCAGTAATCTTGTAGATTGCATGTCACGTGTCTTCTTCCTATTTCAATGCGTTTGATGATTGGTCTGAAGGAGTTATCATCAGTTAGCTCAGCGTGTAGATACAGTCACACAATTAATCGATAATTTGTCAGCATCATTCAACCTTTGCCACACAACGTGCTTCGTATCTTTACTGGACATGGCGTTCGGTTGATCACGACCTCCTGAAACACGAATTATCTTCCTTTTTTTGTCTAAACAGTCCCACAGAGCACATATTCAAATAGAACAAGAAGTGGCGAACAAGCTCGTTTTCAGTGATTCGTAGTCATGCCAAATACATCACAATAAATATTACGCTGTTTATATATAAATCGGTATTCAATCATAAAAAACTTAAACAAATGTTTCGGGAAAGGGAAAATAACCTCATGGGTTATCTGGGGCTAAGTTCATCTTCCTTTTATTTCATATTCATTTAGTTGTATCACTCCTGAGCCTTTCGGCAATATGCTCCAGGGTGCGGTACGCATCAGAAAACAGAAATTAATATCTTACTCGAATATCTGAATTTTAATTTCAAGATACTGGGAAACTTAACCATAAATACTAAAACACTTGTTGCTTGCCCTAAACAGGAGTCCTTTGAACGTTTTCGGCCTCTAAAAGTCTCACTCTGGTTGAGAGTGGGTGTCTCGAGTTGATAATCGTCACTCCTCTCTTGCACACCGCGAAATGCTCCCATACGACCAAGTGTCTCAGTTAGCTTCTGCTGGGGAAGCCCTACTCACTATGTTCTCGAGGCGTAGGTGTTTTCGCACCAAATTGATATGACGAAAAGCTAACATCTAGGGTTATAACCGGGTCGATGAACCTCTGGCAGTTCACCTGGCTAAAATCCCAGATTCCAAATCAAACAAGAAGTGTACAAACCGTACACACACCTTCCCGGTTGTGGCAGTGGTCACCGGCTCAGTTGGGCATCAAGGTCTATTGAGCACCTTGGACGTTTGACCCCGTCCAAAGGGCGTATAATCCGATGAACTGGACACCAGCCCCTAATGCATTGTGGTTTTCACACACCGCCCCGTTGCCTTGCGGTTCGGGCTTTGGTTGTGAACTCCCTAAGAAAATCCACCTGCTTTGGCTTGGGCCACCTAATAATATCGTGCCCTCGAGCAAGTCATAGACGTTTTCTAATTTTTATGTTGTACCGTCATTTATTTGACACACAGTTTGGCCTCAGACGTGTGTGAAAATGTGTACTTTTGATGAACATTTTCATGTGGTTGTTTTGGTATGATAAGAAACACTATAGTTTTTCGCGACACATTACTTATCTTATGTCATACAGCTCACTTGTTCCTTTTTTAAATCTTACGGTTGCATCTTTTTGCCGCTCGACTACTATTCACTACTCACGCATATCCGTGTTGCATACCTTCCCCGCACACAGATTCGTGCCGGTTTGGATCAAGGTGTCAGTGCACCCGGTCAGGTGGAGCAGACCACTAGTATCGTAAGCAGCAGTCCTCATTCCTTGTCCAATCGACGTCCACCTGCTCAGTTTCAAGCAACCGGAGTCATTTTGGTCCAACCACCGGCTCGGGTCACCGCTCTCGGTTTAGCCGAAACTCCCAGTTCGGTGACACCGTCGGACAAATGCAGTCCTTATGGACTCCTAGTCGCTTTGGGCACCCCACATGGCTACTGCGCGGTTCACCTACCCCCGGTCAAACCGCCACCGTCACCGTGCACACCACTGACGAAATGGGAATGTGCTGCCACTCAAACGTTGTGGATCGAAAGCACACTGCCGGACAATTTGGACGCACTGCAAGAGGCCGCTGCTGGCGAAGGTTGGGCCAGACGACGGACACGGGAATTGAAGAAAAGCTTGCGTGACTCATTTCGACGATTGAAACGGATGCGATCCACAAAATTGTCAGTCAATCCCCATGCAACAGTGACCACTGAGGCCCCTGCCCCGACAGCTCCTATCAATCGAACTGGCGTGCGGCGGACAGTGACACAAGTGCGTAACATGAAACTAATTTTAGGCTATTATCTATAGGCAGTGTTTCCATACACAAACTATCGTTCCCGTTTCATCAATTGTTAACGATCTATTTATTTATCGAGCTAGATGCGCAACTGGTTACCAAGATTTGTAGATAGCTTTACTGTCTGTGGAGCTGAAGCCTTTTATCAGTGCCCAGTCTGAATGAACTAGTGCCTTAACACATCGAATCCCGAGTGCTGTAAAAAGTTGTCCATCGAACGGAATGACTTAACAAACCGAGCACATCCTATTTGACAGTTGATCCAAACTTGTGGTATAGGCCGAACGGTCAACCCGTTAGTCGTACGTACTGAGCGCGTGGGAGAGTTTGTTTCTGATTTAGCTGATTAAGTGACATCACGTGGGTGCTGGTGGCGCAATGGTTTAGTCGCTATCACCGGCGTGCTTTGGACCCTGTGGTCTGAGATTCGAGCCCAACCACCGCCTCCCAAATTTTGTGGTAGGCCGCTTTACTGTCGCCCGGTTCTATATCACGCCTGACCTAGTGGGGCCTTATGTGATTCGCTAAGTCCCGGGGTGTAGGTCGCCGGCTACCATCACTGAACAGCAGGGTTCCACCCTGTCTGCTTTCCATTACACCGGTGTCGAAATCTCTTCCGATAACACCAAAATTTCCATGCGATTGATCCAATCCTCTCATGGTGTTGTTGTTGTTGTAAATCGACCATCATTCGGTGATAAAATGAAATTATTCAAGGCTCATCGACCACCTTCGTTATGCGTGATTTCGTTGTACATGCGTGGACAGAACAGCAATTTCTGTGTTCCTCTTGTCTATCCCGTCATCCATTTTTCTTCGTCTCAGTTAACAATGAATAATGTTGGTACCTTATGTATTTCATTCAGGTTAATCAGTGTAAATCCATTATATATATATAGATGCAGAATTCTACACAACGATTGTCCAGAACTGTACCGGTCTGTTGCTAACCCATTGAGTTTCGCTGCAAATATTTCCACTTCTCTTTTCCCAATAGACCAATCGTGTTGTCGGTCGTCAAGTTCACACCGGTCCACTTGAGGATGCCGAACGCCGTGCTCGGGGTGATTCCGGGCAACTCGGTTCCGCCGGTCTTCCACCGGTCAGTATCGAGCGCGAGATCTGTGATCGTCCGGCCGATTCGGCCAGTGTGGCCATTGTAACCTGTTTCACATTCGGCCCACCCTTGTTCCGATTCTCGTCCAGTGCGAACGCGCATGCGATCAACACTCCTCCGGGCACACCCGCAGCTAACTGCTCCATCGGATCCCTTTTTGTCGGGACCAAGGCGGGAATGGTGAAGGCTTATGCACTGTTTGCTGATCAGGAGCTAACCTCACGACCATCTACATTCCGTTTGCAACTGGCCAAACAGTTGATCTTGCAGCATCGTGCTCCAATCCTAACTGTCCGGCTGGTTGACAGCAAATCGTTCCAACCCCTCCCATCCATGTGTAAGTTCATGTTGTCACGGGGTTCTTGTGTGTGTGTGTGTGTCTGTCTATACCAATACCTATTCTATTTCGGAGTTTTTCAACTCTGTCTTTTCGAGGCTTCGTTTCAACCCCCTAGTTTTTATGGGTTTTTTCCATTTTGATGCACTGTCATCAATACGCATCCGATCCAGTATATGTTATCTATTCAGGTATCGAACGGATCAGCACTCATCCGGGTAAAACCAAAAAGACGTGTAAATGGGAGGCTAACACCGGTATGTCTGAATCCATCCATCGATTTAAGTCACGGGATGGGCGGGAGTGGGTTCCAAAGTTGGAGATTAAAACTTCTCCTCCTCCTCAACTATCACCACCATCCGGTTTCGGTGGCCACCTGCTTCACTGTCGTTCGACTCAGTACGACACTGATCACTCCAATTCTTGCAACTCCGGTTATGGGTGAACAGTGGGTTCCTCAGACGATGATGCTTACTTACTCTTTCGACTGTTCATTACACTCCTACAAAAGGAGGACGAGGTATGATTGCGGGTGTCGACTCTTGCACACGGACTACATTTTCTTGGGCTCCTCTCAAAATGTCCTGTGTGTAGCGGGGAAATTCAGTTCGTCGCTTTCTAGTGTTGTTTTCATTGAACCGGAAAAAAATGCCGAGGGGCGTATATCTCCAAGGTGGGAGCCGGATTGTCAAGACCGTACGTAGGTGATAGACAGATGCACGAATGTTGAGAAACTCTTGTGGGGTATAAGAACTACCCCCGGGGATAGTGAAAATAAGACTAACTGGTCGATTGACCAATTTATTGTATCGGTTGCTTGGAACACGAAGTTGTCCTAAGTCGAGCATATGTTTCGGCCTGTATGATACCGGCTCGGAAACATCTTGCGAATCCGGAGCACCGCATCTTGAGTAAAACTCCTATCGGTCAGAACAGTGTAGCCATGTTCGGTATGCGTTTTGCACCTTCAAAGTGTAAAGTGTTGCTACAAGACTGGGTTAGTCCAGCACCTAGCCTCACTCTAACTGGGAAAGTAATAGAGCAAGTGGATAACTTTTGTTATTTGGGCAGCTACATCTCACCGGTGGACGCATTACGGATGAAATATCAGCTCGCATACAGAAGGCTCGGCCGACATTTTCCAACTTTAAACATCTGTGGCGCCGTCGCGACATCCGGTTGTCTGTGAATGGTTGGGGCATGTGTTACGCATGTCACCAGATAGGTTGTCACGGTGAGCGGTGTTCGTCGAGACAAGTATTGAGTGAAATAAAGCCAAGGGTGGTGAAGCTAAGACCTGGCAGGAGGATATAAAAACCCTGATTAGGAGTCTGGGCCACATAAGTTCCGTTTGGCTCGCTGGCTGGGGACCTCGGGATGATCGTAACCGATGGTTAGAGACAGTGAATGATATGGC